AATGACATCATTGTAAACGTCAGACAGGGAATAGATTTTATTGAATTCATCGTATCGGCAACTTGTGTAAATAATTGACGTTTAAATAATAGAGTTTCCTTCTACACATCGTTTGCAAACGGAATTAAGACACTCGCGTATGTACACTACCGGCGAAAAGTTTCGAATCACCTCCCACTTTTCATCAATATTAAATCTGCTGCCAACTTTTCACAGATTTGAAGTTTATCTCAATTCTACATTTATCAATTTGTCTCGTATCAATTGGTTCGAATGATAAAAAATTCTCAAAGTCGCTGACTTTTTTTCTGGAAATTTTTCTGTAAATTGCAACGCTCGATGATTCCAAACTTTTGGCCGATAGTGTACGTCGGAAATATTAGTATGGATCAGTTGCAGGATGATTCGTGTAAATATCAATTTTATTTATGTATTTATTTATAGATATCAATTTGTCGTGGTAAATGATACATTCTTACAAATTGAAGAGGGAAAAATGATAATGTACAGGGTGACCTTGAAAGAGTAACATATCATAGGTCAATGAACTCGTCTTGAAGTGGGCTATAAGCTTAACTAAAAAAAGGATAATGTTCCGTTTAAATGAACAAAGGTCATCTTAAAATCTCAAAGACACCTCAAAAACAATAAGTTTTACTTGAAATATTTTTTCGAATAGCGAATAATTCGAGAGATTCGTGTGCAATGGGCCACCCTAAATTGTAACAGTAGTTCGAAAAATAATGTTTAAACACCTGTGGATCTTCACGATTAACATATGTATCTTTCATATTTTGAAAGTGCGCAGTAGTTGGATTAAATTGGGCAAACATAATGTCAATTAAAATGAAACGAAAGTTTAATTAAGGAAACACTTGTTAAATCGTTTACCCAGTACCTTCGGATAAGTAGTAGGTGATACTGTTTATGAGAAACGATGAATTGGCCATTAAAACATTGTTAATTGAGAATAATTGAAGAATTGAACAATTTTATGGGGGTTCTTGATTTTTTGTTTTCAAATTGAACTTATGTTTAAGAATGTTTAGAATATGGATAACACTTAATGTTACAAAACTATGATTCATCATCGATCTCACGATAAAAGAGTCGTATAGTTGCTGATCATGTTGTCAGTGTCACTTTACTGTCGAGAAAATTGAAACGGGTGAATGCGTATTAGACGGATAGTAGGATAAATAGAAAGAATAAACGCAAGAAGGGGATACGCGTGATCCAATAAGGATCAGCGTTGAACTATCGTAGCGGAATTGATTGGTGTTTCGTTTTATTGAAATGGGTTACTCGCTGAAAAATTACAATTTCAGTAGAAATCCCGCTTTGTTGGAAGGGAAGGCTGCGAATCACAATTTCTGAAAATTCAGAAATTTAAAAATTTGAGAATTTGAAACTTAGGAAATTTGAGAATTTGAAATATAGGAAATTTGAGAATTTGAAATATAGGAAATTTGAGAATTTGAAATATAGGAAATTTGAGAATTTGAAATATAGGAAATTTGAGAATTTGAAATATAGGAAATTTGAGAATTTGAAATATAGGAAATTTGAGAATTTGAAATATAGGAAATTTGAGAATTTGAAACTTAGGAAATTTGAGAATTTGAAACTTAGGAAATTTGAGAATTTGAAACTTAGGAAATTTGAGAATTTGAAACTTAGGAAATTTGAGAATTTGAAACTTAGGAAATTTGAGAATTTGAAACTTAGGAAATTTGAGAATTTGAAACTTAGGAAATTTGAGAATTTGAAACTTAGGAAATTTGAGAATTTGAAATATAGGAAATTTGAGAATTTGAAATATAGGAAATTTGAGAATTTGAAATATAGGAAATTTGAGAATTTGAAATATAGGAAATTTGAGAATTTGAAATATAGGAAATTTGAGAATTTGAAATATAGGAAATTTGAGAATTTGAAATATAGGAAATTTGAGAATTTGAAATATAGGAAATTTGAGAATTTGAAACTTAGGAAATTTGAGAATTTGAAACTTAGGAAATTTGAGAATTTGAAACTTAGGAATAGGAAATTTGAGAATTTGAAAATTAGGAAATTTGCGAATTTGTAAACCTGAGAATTTAGAAATTTAAAGATTTCAGACTTAGGGAAAATTTGAAAATTTAGAAACCTGCAAACCTGAGAATTGTTAAATTTGTAAATTTGAGGATTTGGAAATGTGAGAACTTAAGAGGCTTAAGAATTTGATACCTCGAAAATTCGGAAATTTATCGTGAGAAATATTCATACTACAATATTAAAAGATATTAGAATTTCTCTACTTATACTATATTTTCCTTGTTACAAATACCTACCTTGAAAAATTCGAAATATTTTTCATTTTCCTTCTGGTAGACACACAAGGGGGTAAGAAAATCCTGCTTGTCGTCGTTATCGTGGTCTTACAAGAACGGACCAGAAGCTTGATAAGATTTAATAAAATAATCGGATTGGAAAAGAAGCTTCGTCTTTATTAACCATCCAACCAGAAGATCCTTGAAAATTAATGGAAATAAGAATATTAGTAGTAAGAAAATTAGAAAAAATATATACACAAATATTGTTAATTCTTTTGAATATATTTTGCAATAAGTTTGAACGTTTTGCAATACATTTCTTCTTATCATGATGCAAGAATGAGATAAAATAATACTTAATCTTGGACGTTAATTTCGTGTTGTTCCATCATAAATGAAACGTAAATCTGATTGCACAACGACAGATCGCGGACTTGCGATCGGAGCATGTCGATAAGAATTAAGACGACATTTGCGTGTGCCTTCAATAGAACAGAATATTTAATCATTAACAAATCAGAGGCAATTTGTCATTGACTGTTTCTCTGTAGCAAGGCTAACTAACAATAAAATCGTAATAAAATCCAAGGATCTTCCTGTATATCTTGAAAAATACTGCAAGTCACTCTATCTACCTATAATTAATTCGAATTTACATATATTTGAAAAATTTCTTACTTAACCGCACAATATTCTAATCAATTATTTTACACGCTAGTGAATTTTCAATCTTTTATTATTTTCAAACATCTGAATTTCTCGAAATTCCTAAATCCCCTAATGTACAAATTTTCAAATCCGTAAATTCTCAATTTCCGTAAATCTTTAAATTCTCCAATTCCGAAATTCCCAAGTTCTATCAAATTTCCAAATTTTCAAATTCTGAAACGTCTAAGTCCCCAAATTTTCGAAAATTCCCTTTCGTACGTATTTTAAAACTCAGCGTTCGTATTCGGAAAGGCCGGGGTTGTCCATCGTGCGACATCTTCATCGAAAGTCCACCGAAGAAAAAGTGTCGAATCCCAGCCGATGAACGAATTATCGATGCGTATTGCTATCGTAAGCTCTGACAAAAGCGAAGCTCGAACCAAGGCCACATACGCAACAAGACCTACTTTGTAGGACTTCCTCGTCCGCTAATGCGTCGGTTCGATATGCTCGCCGCTGTGCAATATTGCCACCTAAAATGACTCACGTTTTCTGGACAAATCTTACATAGGCATAATGCAAAAAAAAAAAAAAAAAGTATAACACACGCGTTGTTTTGTTCCATCAGAAAAATGTTACAGATTGTTTACAAATGAAACAAATTCTGTTAAATATCCATGTTAATATGTGCAATTGAGACACGGTGATAATTAAGAAATACTTTTCTCTACAGATAAGATTTATTGCAAACAGGAAAATTGACTGAAACACGGTAAAACATCGATTGTCGACATTTAACTAAATTTCAAATTAAATTTAATAAAATTTCAATGTTAACACGTTACCGAAATATTTTTCAATTTAATTGACATCCAGTTTGGAAAAATAATTTTAATAACGTCGATAAATTTTCATAAATTTTCGATTAGTACAGGTTAGTATCTATGTGTTTAATTGTAGAGCAAGAAAAACAAAAAACGAATTCATTTTATTTTTTCCGTTGAAGTAAGATGTTACTCTACAGAGAGCATGAAGCACGAAGTATTGAGAGTAAGACTATGGAATATAGAACATCCTTCTGTGGACGGTGGTAAATCGAATTGAAAATCCGCTTCGAATGGAGAGAGAAAGAGGGAGGGAGAGAGAGAGAGAGAGAGAGAATCGACAAAGTGCAATTTCCACGGCGGAAATTACATCTACGAACAGCGGGGGAAGCTTTGTTGAAAAGCTTCTCGTGTGTATATACGCGTGTAAACACTATGTGCATGATCGAGAATGGAGCAACTGTGTTTCGTGGGGATGCAGAGGGAGAAACAGTTGGTTCGATACGCAATTATTTCTATCGTACACGTGAAATCTATATATGACATTATGTGACAACTTCTATCAACTTTTATAGCGTTTTCGAAATTCTTCACATTATTTATTTACCTGACACGATTACCCTCCGATACTTCTAGCATTTCGAACATAAAATACACTCCCTCTACTTGGAACACATCCAAAAAAAAAAAAAGTACCTCAAGTGTCTCTGCTATATCTATGAAAAAAGTACCTCTGTAACCTTCTTAATTGTTTAAATATTTTAATACAAATTTTTCAATACCCTCATCGAGCAAAGCTCCAACACCTCTAGAAATCTCCACTCTAAAAGGAACCTTCCAGCACATCTAATAAACCTCCTCAAGCTTTTTCCACATCTTCTGAAGTTCGATCTCTGTTCGTGGCCACGACCGAACCGATTTTAATCAACAGTAACGAGTAAGCTGGCCGTTAAGTAGGTTTCCCTCGGTACACGGAAAGCTCATTTTACATCCGGCCGGAACACGGATGGAGGGACTAGGTGAAGTACGTAGGTATCCATGGTGAAAGGCGACGTCGCTCGTGCTTTCGTCTTGGCCATTCGAGCTTGCCAGTCGACTCTCGCGTCTCGTCGACGAAGCACAGCCCCAACCCTCTGCCTCTAAACATCCCTTCGCCTTTCGTTTCACTCTCGAATAGCGTCAGTCGAGCGCGATGAACCAACGAAAACGCACGTTTCATTAATCTTATTACCTCTGCTGTTTGCAATTCTTGAAGTAAAAACAAGAAAAGGAGTGACACTAGGGTAGAAAAAGATTTGACGAACAATTGATGTACGATTTATGGATCGTTCGTATGGAGTGTAGATTGGCTTTGAAGTTCGTTGGTTTTTTTGTCGTGACACGATGAGGGATAGGACTTTCGATTGAGAGAAATTAAAGGGAATTTCGAAGATTGTGAAACATGGTGGACAAACTGCACGAATATGAGGGTTTTGCTGGAAGGGTGCACGGTGTCAGGGATAAGTTTAAGGAGAAATGGGAGACATGGAAGGAGTGGAAGAATGGAATACCGATGGATCAAGGGATCGAGGGGTTCCTGAATCATCTTCGGGGACCGCCGAAGTTGGAGAGGACTTTGGACGATTATGCGCATATTTACAGGTATTATGGTTTTCTGAGATTGTTTTTTTTTTTTTTCAAACGATTGAAAGAACAAAACATTTAAATGTAAATATAGGTACAAATTGAATAATAACTTATTAAAAATCAACTCTCAGGAAAAATAATTCTTCAACTTCAAAAAATAATTTGGAACGAAAGGGTTAAAGATTGTACAAATTTTCCTTTAGAAAAAAGACACGAGGAGAATTAGTACGCGTGTCTGCAGCCGTAATGGGGATCGAATTTTCATATGCAGCAGAAACCGCGTTCGTTTCACCAACATTATTAAAAATCGGAGTGGATCACCAGCACATGACTCTCGTTTGGGCGCTCAGCCCCCTTATTGGGTTCTTTGTCACGCCAATCTTGGGAAGCTTGAGCGATAGGTGCAGACTGAAGTATGGAAGAAGAAGACCCTTCATTCTTTTATTAGCCATTGGAGTGTTGATAGGTAAGAAACTCCATCTTAATTCATCTTAAAAAAATTAAGAAACAACACAAATAATAAAAGGAAATTATATTACTTTAATTTTATATTAAAAAATAACTAC